GCTTCTCCAGGAATTCCATCCCAGCCCCTGGTGGGGTGTGTTTGGCCTGATTTAAGGTGGGGGCAGGGGGTGACGCAGTTTTGGGGGTTACCAGGAAATGCTGTTGTAGCTTCTGCCTTGGCCAAAGAGGGGAGATGGGAAAAGTGGCAAATCTTGGCCTCTCCCAGCACTGGAGCCTTGGGAGCAGCTCTTCCCGCTCTCCTGGAAGTGCTGGGACTTCACCGCCGGTGCTGGGCACTGCTGGGGTCACACCTCCACCCCACGGGCACTTTTGGGCCCCTCACGAGACATTGGGGGGCTGGAACATGTCCAGGGAAGGGGACGGAGCTGGGGAAGGGGCTGGAGCAGCAGGAGAACTGAGGGAGCTGGGAAGGGGCTGGAGAAGCCCTGAGGGAGCTGGGGGGGCTCAGCCTGGGAAAAGGAGGCTCCAGGGCTGGGGGGTTGGACACTCCTTTGGCTCCTTCTGGCAAAGAAGGCACCAAATGGCCCCCAAATGTCCCATTTCCAGGGGTTCCGCTGCCCTCAGCCCTGGCACAGCCATGGAAGTGTGGGGAGAGAAGAGCCAAGGGAGCTGGACAGGGACTGTCCATCGGGAACTGTGCCGGGACACAGGGAATGGCTTCCCACTGCCACAGGGAGGGTTAGGTGGGATATTGGGCAGGAATTCTTGGCTGGGAGGGTGGAGAGGCTCTGGAATGGCTTTCCCAGAGGATGCCCCATCCCTGGAAGTGTCCAAGGCCAGGTTGGATAAACTTGGAGCTACCTGGGCTAGTGGGAGGTGTCCCTGCCCATGGCAGGGCTGGGACTGGATGGGATTTAAGGTCCCTCCAACCCAAAGCATTCCAGGACTCCATGGGACCAGAAGGGGAAGGGACTGGCCTTGTCCCTCCTGGTGCCAATGAGCTCCAAGACGAGGGTTGTGGGATCAGGAAGACAGGAACGCTGGGATGAGGTGGGATGGAATCCAAGAGGTCAATATTTAGGGTTGTGCACTTGGAAACCAGAGCCAACAGTTCCTTCTCCAATCTGGAAAAAATCTCAGCCCTGCTGGTGAATCACAGGAAGGGAATGAGCAAGAGCAGGGGCTGGAGATAAGGGAAAGCCTGGAATGCACCAGGATTCTGCATTTCCAGTCAGGATGGGGAATGTCTGGGTTGGAGAATCACCTGGAGCCCTCACTGACTGTGCTCAGGGGGGGATCTGGGACAGGGACATGAGCAGAGAGGGGCAGGAAAATCTTAGGAGAGCTTTTTTACCCAGGAAGACCAAAGGGCTCCTTGCCTGGATGAGCAGGGAGAGGCCTGGGAGCAGAAACCTCAGGAGGGTGATAAAGGATGAAGGAAACAGGGATGAAATGGCAGGATAGTGAATGGTGGAAAAGCTGCCTGGAAACTCAGAGTCTGGGAGAACTCCCAGGGTCGGGGGAGCTTCCCTATGGATTAGGGAGATGGAAAGTCAGTGCCACAGGGCAAAGCCCAGGCTGAGGGCACTGCCTGGAGCAGGAATTCGGGCTGTACGGAAGGAGGGAGGTCTTGGGGCTTGGCAAGGGCAGGGTGGGAGGAAGGGGAGCTGCAGGGACAGCCCTGCAGAGCTTTGGGAATTGTGGGAGCTCTGATGGAGCTCAACCCAGGGATGAAGTCGGGTGAGACCCTGCAGAGCTTTGGGAATTGCAAGAGCTCTGATAAAATACAAACCAAGTGATGGTTCCAGGATCAGATCCAGCAGAGGTTTGGGAATTGCAGGAGCTCTGATAAATCAATCCGGGGCTGGTGTCAGGGTCAGACCCTGCAGAGGTTTGGGAGTTGCAGGAGCTCTGGTAAAGCCCAGCCCAGGGATGGTGTCGGGGTCAGATCCAGCAGGAGCACTCGCTTCCAGTGCCTCCATCCTTCCCAAGAAAACCAGTCTGCCCCAGCATCACCACCTCCCCCTCATTCCCAAAAATCTGTGTGTTAGTGGCACAGAGGGATAGAGAGGAAAACTCCCTCTGAAGTGGCTGCTCCGTGTCCCATCCCGGCAGGAGCTGTCCCTGTCCCAGCAGAGCCTGTCCCCAGCCCTCGGTAGCCACCCTGCCCTCTTTGGAAGCCCCCCTGGCACGGGCTGCTCCCCCCATCCCGCTCCTGCCCATGGTGCGTTTTTCCCTGTTTTCCCCCGGGTTGGCCCATTGCCTTTAAAAGGCGAAATGCTCCGCACTAAATTTGGGCATGCGGCTCTGGCCGCTTCCCTGGAATGTCCTCGGGTTTCAGGCTCCCCCGCTCCCCCCTTCCCCGCCTCCCGCCCGCTCCATTGGCTTCCCGGCTCCCGAACCGCCGCCGGACCCCGGCATTGGCCAGCCCCGGGTTGTCCTCTCTGGAAAACCAGGGAGAGCCGCCGGGATTTAACACTTGAGCACCTGCTGCCCCCCGGGAAGCAGCTTCGGGAGCTTCGGCTTCTGTTTTTTTCTCTCCTGCCTCGGGAACCCCAAAACCGCCACCGTGTCTCGCCAGAGGGCCAAGATGTCCAAGGTGGCCAAGTACCGGCGCCAGGTCAGCGAGGACCCGGACATCGACAACCTGCTGTCCACGCTGTCCCCGGAGGAGATGGAGGAGCTGGAGAAGGAGCTGGACGTGGTGGACGCTGAGGGGAGCAGCCCCACCGAGAAGAACCGCACGGAAAACTCCTCCCCCGGCCCCCAAAACTGCGACCCGGAGCTGAACCACCACGGCAGGGAGTCCCGGAGGGTCCTGCGCAGGGAGCAGGCTGTGGATGTAAGTCATGATCCCTCTGGGAAAGGGGGGACACACCTGGAACCCCCCTGGGCTGAGGGAGAGAGGAGGTGGGGAAAAAAATTGCGGGAAAGGCTGTGCTGGGGAGGAGCTGCTGTCACGGAGGGCCCAGGGAGGTGGTCCAGGCATCCCAGAGGGGATGGGGTGTCCCTGAAATCCTGGTGTTCCTGTAAAATCCTGGTGCTCCCCTAAAATCCTGGTGCTCCCCTAAAATCCTGGTGTTCCCCACAAAGCCAAAGCTGTGCTGGTGTCCAGGGATTTTCTTGCTGTCCCTGTTCTGACATCCCTGGGCAAGGCTGTGGATGGAGATGGGTTGGGAATGGAGATGGGATTCCCAGGAGATGCAGGGACAGCGATCCCGTGGGCTGCATTTTTCCTTCTTTTTCCTCCTTTGGACACCACTGACCTCTCGGTCCTTCCAGTGCTCCTCGTGCAAAAGCTCCAACAGCCCCTGGTTCTTGTGGAATAAAAAGTTTCTGGGAATCAAGGAGCAGGTTTGGCCCCAAACCGTTTGTTTCCTGGTTATTGTTTGCTTCAAATCCATCCTTTAATTTGGATTTGGGCCCATTTATCTCCTTTCCTGCACTGGGCAAATCCCTCGGGAGCTTGTTTGGACCTGGAGAGCTTCGTGCCAGTCCCTCTGCTCCTGTTGTGCCTCCTCAGTGGGATCCAATCCCACTCCCTGGCACATTCCTTCACCTCTGCACTAAGAATATTCAGGATTCGTGCGTGGGAGCCTGGGAAGCAGCTGGTTTCCCTAGTTTTCCATGGCTGAGCCAGGGGGGGAAAGGCTGTGACTTTCCAGCTCTTTATCCAGGTGCTCCTGGGCAGGTTTCATGTCCCAGGTGGGATTTGGGGCTGAGAGGTGTCAGCAGCACAAGTGGATCCAAGGATTTTGTGGATCCCCCTTTAATTCCAGATCTGTTCCAGGCCACCCAGGTCTTCCAGCTGGTCAGTTGAGCTGAAATTGCCCCAGGAGCACTTGGAAACAGCTCTTCTCGGGTATTTCTGGAGTTTACAGAGGAGGCTCTTCTCCTGAGCGCGGCTTGGAGCAACCCCTCTCCCCCCGAAATGTCGGGAATGGGAATTCCCACCGCAGGAGGAGTAGCCGGAGGTTTGGGAAGGGGTTAAGCGGCTCCGCCAGCCCGGTCCCGGGATGCCTGGGATGTTCCCGTGGCTCCAGGACAAGGCACAGCCGCCCCCTTCCAAATGTGGCTCCTGGCGTGGGCCGGGGACACGCAGAGCCCCGTCCCTCCCAGCACGGGCTGGGATTGATTCCCGGGAAGATTTCCCGGCGGTGGGGAAGTGCAGGTGCCGCAGGAAGCGCTGGGAAGGGGAGCGCTGTGGTGTGGCCCCAGTTATCCCAGCGAGGATGACCCCAGTTATCCCAGTGAGGGCACTGGTTTGCAGCTGATCCCGAGGAATGGCTCTAGAAAAGCCACTTTTTTGGGTGGGAGACACTTTGTTTTGGTGTCACCCGTGCTTCTGTTTCCCTTGGAACGGTTGGAAGATGAGGAGTTGGCCGGGAACTGGGAGAGGGAAGTGTCCACGATCAGGAGGAAAGGAGGAAAGTTGGGGTTTTTTTGGAAAAAAGAGGAAATTGCCTGTTAGAACATAACACGGTTTGGGAGATTCCCGAGAGAGCCGTGGGAGGGGATTCGGGATGTGGGAAGGGGTGGTGAGGGCAGGAGGGACACCCAGCAGAGAGTGCAGGGCCTGGAAGGTGGGAAGGGCACCTGGAAAAGCTTTTCCCTGAGCTCGGGAGCTCCAGGTCGTGGAAGGCAAAGCCAAGGTGGAGGCGCGGGAAGGGCTGGAGGGGCAGAACTGCAGCCCGTGGAGGGGAAGGGAAAAATCCCACTCCTGGCGCTGCCGGGAGCCGGGATCAGCCCCCGGGATCGGGCAGATCCCGCGGGACGTGGGGGCGGGACCAGCAGCCCACAGGAACGATCCCAAAATCCAGCTCCGGGAGGGGAATTACCCCCCGTGCAAGGCAGCCCTGGGCGGGGCTTTGCTGCGGGATGGGGGTGGGTCTGGAGTCACTGGGGTCACTGGGGACCCCTGACCCCCCCAAACACCCCTCAAATGACCTGGAGACCCCCAAGACCCTCCCAGGGACCCCCAAGACCCCCAGGACCCCCAGGACCCTCTCAAGGACCCCTGAGACCCTCTCAGGGCCCCCCAAGACCCCCCATGCTCTCGGGGTTCCCACCTCAGCCAGGAGTCTGGGGTCACTGGAGACCCCAAAACAGTCCCAGTGGCTCCCCAATGACCTGGAGACTCCCAGGATCCCCAGGACACCCCAGGACCCCCCGAGACCCCCCAATGACCCAGAGACTGCCCCCCACAGACAACCCAGGATCCTCCAAGATCCTTCAAAATTTCCCCAGGGACCCCCTCAATGACCTGGAGACTCCATCCATCCTCCTCCAGTTTGGGTTGGGAGGGGAAGGAAAACCAGCTCAAGGGGGAGCCTGGGCCGGTTCCTTCCCTCTGGAAGTGCCCAGGGAGCTCTGGGAGGGGAGCTCCAGGTGTCCCAGGAGCCGGAGCTGAAGGAGTGTTCCCCAGGAGATAAAGGAAGAGGGGATTTCTGGGAGTTGGTGGCTCTTTCCTGTCACAGGCAAAGGAATCGAGAGAGAGGAACTGGGGTTGGGAACACCCTGGGAAGTGGGAATGGTGGCATTAAAGGGCCAGAGGGCAGGGATAGATGGGATATTGGGAAGGAATTCTTCCCTGGGAGGGTGGGGAGGCCCTGGAATGGATTTCCCAGAGGATGTCCCATCCCTGGAAGTGTCCAAGGCCAAACTGGAGCAGCCTGGGATAGTGGGAGGTGTCCCTGCCCATGGCAGGGGTGGGATGGGATGAAATTGAAGGTCCTTCCCACCCAAACTATCCTGGGATTTCAGGATTAACCACTGGATGATTTACCTGGGGCACAACTGACCTGCTGTCCCTTGAAATCTTCACATCATTCCCGGGATTTCCCTCCAGAGGAGGAAAAGCTGCCGTGGGAAGGGGCTCCCTGGGGGCTGAGCTGGGGCAGGAGAGGGGCCTGGGGGGTCTGACCGGGCTCTGTCCCATCCTTCCCCTGCTCCTGGTGACAAAACCCTCCTGTTTGAGCAAACATTCCCCCTGGAGACACCCCCATCCCAAGGGGGTCCCGCCAGGATGGGCTTTAGGGAATTATCTTTAGGTCCCTCCCTGGATGGGCTTTAGGGAATGATCTTTAGGTCCCTGCCAGGATGTTCTTCAGGGAATGATCTTCAGGTCCCTTCCAACCCTAACCATTCCATCATTCCATGAGCTTCCCCACTGGCATTTTGTCACCCCTGAACCCTCACAGGGACCCTCTGCCAGGTTCTGAGGAGCAGAGCCCATGGGAAGGATCACAAACTCCACATGAGCCACAAATTCCAGGTGGTTTGGTGGACATTTTCTCCTTGGAAGTTGCCAAATCCACAGCAGGAGGTTTTTCCTTCTCAAAGAATTCCACAAAATCCACCTGCTGCTGCCCTTGGATCCCCACAGGGCCCAGGGGGCTCCCAAAACACAGAACCCCTCCCTGTGCTCTCCCTTCTCCAGCACCATCACCTTCCCTGGCCATGGACGGAGCTTCCTTCCCTCACCTTGTGGAATCCTGGAATATCCTGAGTGGGAAGGGGCCCATGGAAATCATCGAGTCCAGCCCAGCCCTTCATGGGACCCCCCAAAATCCCTCCAGAGAGTGTTGTCCAAAAACAGCCCCTGAGCTTCCCCTGCGAGGAGAGGACACCAGGATGGCCCGACCCCACCAGAATTCCCAGTCCTGCCTCCCAACAGGGAGGATTTGATTCCTCCCTGGATTTGATTCCAGGCACGGATGGCTGGGAAATGCAGGAAATTCCATGAGGGAGCATCATCCTGCTGGGGGAGGGGGGTCGTTCCAGGGACACCAACCCACTCCTTCTGCCAGGACCCTCCCACCGGGGGGTCTCTTCCCATGGAATCCAGGAGCAGCTTCCCGGAGGGAAAGGCTCTGGACAGGGGTCACTGGATGCCATGGAAGTTGTGCCCAGTGTGGATGGTTCCTGTATTTCTGTGTCCTGGAGTCTGAACTCCCTTCCCGTGGGAAGAGCTGAGCTGGCTCCGGGATCTTCCAGCACTTCCCTTCCTCTGGGATATCCCGCTCCCTCCTCTGCAGGGAACACCCCCTCCTGCTCCAGATCCATGGATCCTTCTCCCTGCAGGCTCCTGGGAATGTCCTGGGCAGGGAACAGTCCCTCCTGCTCCAGATCCATGGATCCTTCTCCTGCAGGCTCCTGGGAATATCCCCGTCTCCCCAGGCTCCGTAGGCTGGACAGGTTCCTCATGGCCTGCTTTGGATGCAGAGAGAACACCAGTGGCCTCAGGGGGGTTATTTAATCCAAATCCAGCATTTTTGAGGGATGCTGGACCCAGAGGGTCCTGCTGCCATGGAGAAGGATTTCAAACTCCTTGGGAATGTCATGGGAAAAGTCCTGCCTTCTTTTCACTCAGTGGGGTTTGTGGCCTGGGCCGGGAGGGTTTTAATCCAGGCCCTGGAATTCCCTGCATGGAGAGGGAAGATCCTCCCCAGGGAGTCCTTCAACACCCCGGGAAAACCAACGGCAGTAATTCCACTTCACATTCCCGGTCTTTAAATCCTCATTAATGCTCAAAGCTTTTCATCTTTCCATGGAAACATCCGGGGGAAATCCAAGCCTTTAGCTCTGAGACGGGCTCAGGGATCCCAAACAGGGAGTGCAGGGCTTGGGTCGCACTTTGGGCGTCTCCCCGGGCTGGGCCTGACTCAGATTTGCTTAAACCCGGCTCTTGTGTTCCCAGCCCGGCCTGGCCACGTCCCAGGACTGTTCCCGCTGCCTTCCAAGAGTTCCCAGTTCCCAGCTCTTGCCTTCCTTTGAACCATGTCCTGGGCTGGGCCCTTTTCCCTTGTCAGGGAATTGCTGTGGTTGGAATGGACCTCAGAG